AGGGGAAAAAGAGAAAGATAGCTGAGCACTCCCAACGCACTCTAGTGCGGCGCGGGACTAGATTTGATGGCCGAGTGCGAGCGCGGGCGCGTGCGGTAATGCACTCACTCTACTAAAACAAAATAGAAACGATTTACAGGCCAGAATTTCTATTCATAACATGTTTGCAGCGTTGAGCGATATAGCCAATCACAGACATATGTGTTGATTTCTTGAACGCAATGGCCAATCAGAAGCATTTAAGATAGACTCCCCTCACGCTCAAAACGGACTTTTTCGTTCAGTGCTGAATTCTGTATGCTGGCAAATCCTCTAATTATAACGAACAACGTGTGGATATTATGAAAGATTCATTGTGCAGTCAGCTTCATTGATAATAACAGAGATGTGTGAGATCGCGATGAACTGTCAGCTTTTTAGGAATTATTAAGAGAGCGCAGTTTGCGCGCATTCAGTCATGCCAAACCATGCACGCATAGTAAACTGCTTGCTTTTATGTTAAATTAACAGTGGTTTGTGTTTTAATGCTTTAATAACAAATAATTTATCAGGAGGATGTATGGTGGCGACACGTAGGCTAACTTGAAAGTATTTGGAGGTACAGAAAAAAGTCTATTTGCGGGCGGGAGCGGGACAAAACATAAATGTTGCGGGCGGGAGAAAGAAAGTTGAGAACGTCATAACGACCCACGCATTAAAAAATGGTCGGGTTAAAATCGGGCTCGGGCTCATAATTAGCCTACGTTTAATGTGTCGGCCGGGCTTGATTTTTTGGGCCCGATCTAAGCTCTAATTTGTAGCCTACTTATCATTTTGATACTAGAGGGCTAATATAACACTTACAGCATGTGGTGCCTTCATTATAAGGCTTATATAAAGCTTTTAATTTTTTGCGGCTCCAGACAGATTTTTTTTTTTTTTTTTTTTGTCCAATATGGCTCTTTCAACATTTTGGGTTGCCGACCCCTGGGTTAAGGTTAAAAAGTTACTTAGTTCATCTTTAATATGAAAAAATGGTGGAGTGTTCCTTTAAACAAATTAAGGCCTTAAATCAGAGTAGAAAGTCTTATTCATAATGTAAAGGCATTCAATTTTGCATGCCTTGCAAAATAATCTTCCTCAGTATTCTTGTCCTATTTTCCAATACTAATATCTAAACATCTTTGAGTCAAGATACATTTACTTGAGATGCAAATGTAAAAGTGTGCCTTGAAAATTTTAACAAAATTAAGTGAGTGTAGTTTGTTTAAAGGGGTCATATAATGCCATTTTTGTACAAGTTAATATGATTCTTTAGGGTCTAAATAAAACTTTGTAATATACTTTTATTAAAAATTCTCATTAGTATTGTAAGAACTAATTTTACCTGGTCAAAAACAGCTCTGTTTTCAGCACGCCGTTTCAGTGCATGCCTTTAAATGATAATGAGCTTTGCTCACCCCACCTCTCTGTTCTGCGGGCGTTTTGACACAATGCACGTGGAGTGTTGCCTTGACAACAGTTGAGGGTATTTTTTGGAGAAAGAATGACAGCGGGAGTCTCTGAGGACACATCTGTGCAATCGTATCAGTTTGAACCGGAGTCGGACCCGGAACAAGATGACGGCCCCAAGGAAGTTCGACAATTAAGGCTCGAACAGGACGCACTGGCAGGGTAGAGTAGTGACATATGAACGCTGTGTGTTTACTGATGTATAGGTTAGTTCATTGACAGATTAATGTTAGAGTTAATGGTCATGAAAAACTTTTTTTCAAAGATTAATATAAAGGGTAATAAAACTTTACACTCACTTCTTCTGGAGGTGCAGAGGGAACATAAATAGTTGCTACCGATTCTTTTTCAGGAGCTGCTTCTTAGCAAAGCCAGCTCATACTGACCCTCGTTTATAAAGCAGTCTGGTGTGTGAAATGATTCGCGCAAACATGAGAGCATTGACGTTGATCGTGGGGAATATTCCCTTCAAAAACAAAACTCAGCCACTGCGTCATCAGCGGTTCGGATTTAGGAACATCAAAATGACTGCTGTGTTCGTTATTACACCCAAGAACAGAACACCACAATCGCTTAGACGCCATTCTGCTCCAGAGTATCAACAATGACGGACTATGATGACAGCTCGCTCAGGGCGGGGGTGTGTTGAAACGCTGCTGTCAATCAACAATCGTGGGAGGGGCGTCCGATTTAGTGACGTCACAAAATCGAACGGCTTGACTTGATTAAAACATATAAGGAGATTAAAACAAAAACACTGGATGGATTTTTATCATTATATGGTGGTTGTGTACAGGCACTGGCAACACACATTTCAGTACAATCAACTTGTAAAAGTGCATGTACCATTATATGACCCCTTTAAAACAAGAACAAATATATTTTAATGATTTATGAAAACTTCCCTTTGAATTAAGTTGATATTTCTGAGCCAATTGGCAGATATTTGTTCTTGTTTTAAGCATAACTCACTTCATTTTGATCTATTTCACAGAAAAAAAAGACTTAATATTTTATGTAATTTTGTATCTCCAGAAAATGCATATTTTTTTAAGAATCTTTGGTCATTTGCACTGGGAAACAAGACAACAAAACTGAGGAAGAACTTCCCTTTTTTTGCAGTGTGAATTTGTAAAAAGTTATGGATATCTGTTAGAAGTTGTATTTTCAAACTCTGATGTGTTGTTAATACAACTGTCATGAATGCCAGCTGGAGTGCCAGCGTGAGCCTCTGGAGGGCACTCTCTTCCTGTGCTATGTTTCACCATGGACTCATTATGTTTATTATGTTCAGCTGTGTTTGATTATCTTGTTTAGCGCACCTGTCTTAAACCTGAGTGGCCCTTTGTACCTTTGAGTAGTTTTTTTAAGTGTCATACTGCATGCTGAGCGTTTTCCTAGTTCCTAGTTCCTAGTTTCTTAGGCCCCGGTTACACGAGAACGATTCCGGGTGAAAACGTAAAAATATTTTATCGGATGTGCCTTTCGTTTACACGGCAACGGCGTTTTGGGGGCTTAAAAACGCAAAAAAGTGAAACCACCCTCCAGAGTGGAAATCTTAAAAACGCTCCACCATCGCGTTCCCGTCTAAACGGTAAAAACGCAAATCTGCTCACCGTGGCTCTCGTCGCGTACGCATTTACGTCACAGGCATGCGCCAGTACAGGAAAATAACAACCAACATGTCAGATTATTTCCATACGTCGGACCTTCAAGTTGCCCTAGCAGCTCTGAAAAACACACAAGAGTCTTTTCGGTCTTTTCAGCACTTGTACAAAATATTCTAAGATATTGGTGTTGTTGTGTGGCAGTGCTTCACATTGCCACCTAGCCGCCTGGAGTGCATACTACATCGAATTTCACACACTTTTGCATCACCATATGCACGCGGATTTCCCAACCATAACGCTCGTCTAAACGCAGAATAAAAAGTGATAACGCAACGCCACTTTTGCTTTTTCTCTTCAGATCGTTTCCGTGTAAACATACCCTTAGTGTTTTCTAGTTTCACAGTTCCTGGACTCCCTGCCTGTATCTGGTTTTCCCTTTTGCCTTATCCCTGCATTGTATGATTGCTGATTTGGACTGCTTACCTGGTTTTGACTTCTGCCTGTTCTCTCGTACCTGTTTCTGGATCTTCCTCTCAATAAAGCCTGCATTTGGATCACCACTGTCTGTTTCCACCGAGCAGTTCATGACAACAACTCATTGGCCTGGTTTCACAGACAAGGCTTAGATTAAGCCAGGATTAGGCCTTAGTTCAATTAGGACATTTAAGTAGCTTTTACAAACTTGTCTTTTGGCACTGACATATTTTAAAATTTTTCAGTACAAGTTGCTTTTTGCTTAAACAGCTCAAACATGAATTGTAGAAGTGTCAAATTAGGTAGATGGTGCCATGGACAGATTATGTGACCTCATCCACACACACACAAAAAATGCTAATACAATAAATTATTTGTGGATATATATATTTTTTTTTTTTGGTAACGCTTCCTTTTACAGTACAGTACTTGCGTGTACTTACAGTGTACTTACCTAGAAAGTACTGGCTAATATAAGTACATGGGTTAGGGGTAGGTGTAGGGGTAGGTTCAGGGTTAGTACCTAGTTATTACCCAGTAATTATAGTTACTATAATAAGTACATAGTAAGTGCATGGGTAACAGGACTGTAAAAGGAAGCGTTACCAATTTTTTTTTTTTTTTTTTTTTTTTTTTTACAGTAAACAATTCTGGTACTGTTTTGAGTCACCACTTAGCATGTCCAATCTGAAACCTGGTCCTGAAGCGAAACCACTGGAATATACAAGAGGGAAAACTTTCTCTAATTCTCTATATATATTTGTGTTTGTTAGATGAGTAAATCTTGTATTGCAATACTCACAAGTGTGGCTTATAAAAAGGGACACACACACACACACAGGAACGGTCACATCCCGGGAGTAGCATACAGTGATTCGTAGGTCCGCCGGCATCATTTAGCATTTAGACAGGAGGAACCTAATTATCCTCTTCCTCTCCCTACTATCTCTGCAAATGTCTCCAACCTAACTGGGTATTCTCAAAATGTCCAACAAAATTGTGCTGGAGGAACCCTGAATCAGCAAGAAGGAGCTTCTTCTTTTGGGTTTCTGACCTCAAGTCATGTTTAATGAAAGACTCCCTGATTACATTGCCTTAGACTTGGGGTGCTGTTATCAAGAAGCCAAGCGTCCATCAGGCTATTGGCTTTTTTAGGCAGTTTGTCTATTGAACTGCTCAATGTATCTGTGAAAGTGGAGTGACTTTGATTTTCTGTCTCTATTTATTTGTCGTGATAATCATGCGTTTGTCCTACCCTGCCATTTTGTCCACTTTTCATTTCGCCAGGTGCATCACAACACTGGCAGAAGGAAATGTAATCAATTTTTACCATCCCATGCCTAATCTGTGTGTGTCTTATGTTCAACTGTTTACACCAGTGTTTTATCTGTAATTCTGTCGTGTGTCTGTCGTGTACGTGTGCAGGTTTTGAGTTACTGTATCAGCCGGAGGTGGTCCGACTCTACCTGTCTCTGCTGACAGAAAGCCAGAACTATAACACGCTAGAAGCAGCAGCCGGGGCTTTACAGAACCTCAGCGCTGGACAGTGGACAGTGAGTGTCTTCTCATAATCTTCATGTACATAACACATTTCGAAATACCAGGAATTGGAAACTGATTCTTATTTAGATCCATTAAAAAACAATACCCAATTGAATTATTTTCATGATATTCAGTTCCATTAGAGATTCTGGTTAGTGTATTCCTATGCTTAATACAGATGGAAAATCGTGATGAAATATAGAAATAGAATATACAATAAAAGAATCAGAGCTGTTGTCATGATGACATCACACATCTTATTTTCTGTAATCTTTGCATGTGAGTCTTTTGAGAACCTTTGAAAATATTATTTATTTAATCAGATTTAAATATACCTTTTTGTGGTATACACTGCATTTTGGGGTTGGTAAGATTTTTTTATGTTTTTGAAAGAAGTCTCTTACGCTCACCAAGGCTGGATTTCATTTTGCTGTTTTTGCCTTTTAGTAGGATAGGACATTAGCTGGACAGATAGTGAGGGGGGATGGGAGTGGGAAAGGTACACGAGCCGGGACTCAACTCTGGTCGCCCGAAGCACAACGGCTACATGTCAACACACTTGCCCACGAGGCTATCGGCACCATCTCAATTTTCTCTGTTGACAACAGTCTTCTGCAAATCCATAAACCTTCATTTGGGATGCTTTGTTTCTGTCTGTTTAAAATCAACCTTGAACACATTTCCTAATTAATACCTAATTACAAGTATGACGTGTCTGTACCACAGTGTCATGTGTGGGGCTCTGTTCTCTCTTGTGGCAGAAGTCAAGAGGAAATGCCCCTAAGAAACACTCTTGCATTACACCTAATGCAAGAGTAAATCCCATTAAACTGCACTGCCCTGACCCTGCTTCCTTCTCCATTTTGGACCTGAAGTGCAGCCATGCATAAGCTCACAGCTTTTCTGTGTGGTTACTCCGCTTCAGACCTGCCTCATCTCTATGCCTGGTGGCACACGCATGCTTGTGAACCCAGAGTCCCAAGCGCATCACAAACCCCTGCTGTAAGGGGACAGACATGTCACATCTGTAGTCTATAAGAGGATTTAAGAGCTTTTATTTATTAATTTATTCTTTTCCCTACTTTTCTTGCAAATGTGTTTCTAGGCTCACTACCATCTCCTAGTGGCCATGGTATGGTTTTGCAACAACTTGGGGAACTGGTTGAGAAATAGAGATTTATTGTGCCACATAAAGGTTTTGTGATTCATGGGGCTGTAGTGAAAAATGCACACAAGTCTAGCTGGGGCAAATGGCTATTTACTGGATTGCAGTTTCCCAGAATAGAGGAGCTTTTTCTTGCACACATACTCAAACAGGCATATTCTTGTTATGAAAGATTTGCAGAGCTGCTTGTCTGGCTTGAGCGTAAGTTGACCTGACTTAATGAAATGAGTGCTGTGGAAAAATGTCTGATCAGAATGTATGATCCTCTCATTTCTACAGTGGTCAAACTATATCCGGGCGACAGTGCGCAAGGAGAAGGGGCTGCCAATCCTCGTGGAGCTCTTGCGCTCAGACTCAGACAAGGTGGTGCGAGCTGTGGCCATCGCTCTGAGGAACCTGTCCATCGACCGCCGCAACAAAGACCTGATAGGCAAGAGCAGCATTTCTTGATCATTTCTACCTATTGTGTTAAACATTTATTTACATACTACTTGCCGTCAGAATTTTTTCTAATTAATAGTACTTTAGAAAAAAAAAAAATTCAAATCATGTACACAAATCACAGTAGCCTGATAAAAGCTGTTTTATTTTATATGGTGCCAGTACCTTCATGGGTCTGACATGTTGAGATCACATGACCAGCTTAAAGCAACACTAAGTAAGAATTTTTACCTTAAAATAATGTTTTCAAAATCGTTTCAGTGGTTCATCAAGTCGTGACATGGTGAAATGCACGTATGCCACCGCTTTGCGGTCCTTTATCTGATATATCCACGCTATGTAAGATTGCCAGATCGGGTCGCGTTTCTGTAGTGCGAATGAGACCTAAGAAAACTACAAATTTGACTTGCTTTACGGCAAGCGTTACAATTGCAGATAGGTGGAGCGTACTCGACATTATGACTACAACTACACTTTCATAAAATCATGCATCATACTCTACCTTGTCTGTGGCCATTGTTGATTCCAAAGCCGGTGCTGGATAAACAGAGAGCATGAGCGTGCGCGTGCGACAGTAGGATGCGGTAGGCTAAATTATTTACGACAGCAGTAATGGACAATACCGATCCAACCTGTAGGGCGACCGCAGAGGAAAAGTTGCTTGGTGTTGCTTTAATAGCACTTGATCTCTATAACTCCTCTTATATTGGGCACCTACACTACCTTTCAAATGTTTGTGGTCAGAAAGATTTTTAAATGCTTTGAAGGACCAATGCTCCATTTATTTGATAAAAATGCAGTAAAAACAGGAATATTGTGAAATATGTTTACAATTTAAAATAACGGTCAATTTTTAAATATTTTAAAATGTAATTTATTCCTGTGATGGCAAAGCGGAATTCTCAGCAGCCATTACTGTGTCTTCTCTTCAGTTTCATATGATCCTTCAGAAATCATTGCTGCTCAAGAAACATTTCTTGTTATCAATGGTGAAATCCGCTGTGTTATTTTTGTAGAAACTGTGATATATTTTTCAGGATTCTTTGATAAACTGATATTTCAAAAGAACAGCATTTACTTGAAATATATATATTTTGTAAAATGCTTTCGATCAATTTAATGCATCTTTGTGGAATAAAAGTATTCATTTCTTTTAAAAAAAGTCTTACTGCCCCCAAACTTTTGAATCATTAGTGTAGCTTGAAAAATAAATGAATCATGGCTAAATGTGAGTAGTATTTGTACAACAAAATTGGTAAAACAAAAAATTTTATACAAAAAAATAAACTGTTACTCTGTGCTCTTACATTTTTTCATTCGATTTTTACCCAGAAGGCAACAGTTAATGTTAATAAACCTGAAATGTAGAAGATTATGAATACAAATCAGTGTTCTGTATTCTGCTTCTGGGTTTCTGCAACTTGTTTTTCTCTTTTCCAGAGCCGAATCTATCATTCTTTTGTACTATCATCCTCAGGGAGTTACGCCATGAGGGACTTGGTCAGCAACCTGCCCAGCGGACAGCAGCGGCCAGCCAAGAACCTGGAGGAGGACACAGTGGTGGCCATCCTCAACACCATCCATGAAATCATCACTGACAGCTCTGAGAACGCCCGCTCTCTCATTACTGCGCAAGCAATCGACAAACTTGTGGCCATCAACAGGACCAGGTAGGAAGTGAATGGAGCACAGACCATGACGCAGTATGGTTTCCTTTTTATCACATATAAGCAATATTCACACTGTAAACTCCATTCTGATTTCTGCTTAAGTTATTTTATGAAACTAGAGTATAAAATATTACGAAAAAGCGTTAACATTTTAATCTCTCTTTTCACTATTTAGACCTAATTTGCATGGTACATCATTTAAACATGCTTTCTGTGTTGTAATTTATATATCAAGCCAACTATCTACAGTACATCCTCTTCAAGCAACTATGACTTTTTAAGGCTCACTTAGTGCTGTGTGTACACCAACAACAGGTTTTTGATCTGTGCAAACATCTTCCATTAGTTTGGGTCCTCCTCAACTCGCAGAGCAAAACAGCAACAAGAGTTGCTGCTCTTTGAAGTGTCTTATTTTTATCACCACTCATGTCATCTTTAATATATGCATGTGAAAAACTGAATATTAAGTGGTGTAGTGCTGTAGATATTAAAAGCAGCAAGAACAGAGAGTAAGCCTCCTCCTTCCTTTCCACATGTGACCTCATTTAAAACTTCACATCATTTATACTGTGATTTTACCCAAAACTAAATATTGATTGTGAGCGATTAATTTTTTAAAGAGTACATGCTTGACTGGAGAGTGGCTACATGGCTTCTCTCCTTCTCTTTCTGACTCTGGAGATGCGGCTTTGAAGTCGGAGGCTCCTGGTAATTAAGTGAGGATCACAGGAAAATCTAATGAAGTGAAAAGAGAGAAATCTGTGGCCACAGGGGTTGGAGATTGGTGCCGTAGTGACTTCACGATGCTGGGAGGGGAATAGATGACTTTGAATTTGAGAGTTATTCCAATGGGCTCTGGCTTCCTCATAACTCTCTTTCCCTGCATGTTTATGCATGGCAGCCAGTCAGCAAGGGAGACCAAAGCTGCTTCCCATGTACTACAGACGGTTTGGAGCTATAAGGAGCTGAGAAATGGCCTGACCAAGGATGGCTGGAATAAAACCCACTTCCAGGTAGAGCGGAGCAAAGCCACACACAAACACTGTGATTTCTCACTTATTCTAATACCAAATGGTAAAGTATTGAAGAGTAAATCAAATGAATAAATGTCCGGTTTGCATTTCACTCCCAAATTGAAAGAAAAAACTGTAAGAAATGAATAAAAAAATAAAAAAAAGTTTTTTTTTTTATATCAAATTTTATAAAAATGAAAGAAATGTTGCTAATGTGCCATTATGTATACTTCATATATATTGTATTTTACAAATCTCCTTAAATTCTGTTGTATGAATGCACTAATTTTAATGTCTCGTATATTTTTCACATTAGTACTTTTGTTGTTTTTGCATGAGAATTTGAGATAAAATGTGCTTTAGTTTTGTGCCTAATTGCCAGGAAAATGATTTTATAATGTACATTTTTTTTAGTTGGTTCTAATAATAGATTTATTTTTCTTAATGCACAACACAATTTTCTTAAAGAAGTTGAACATCACATTTCTTGACAGTTTCTGCGAGATTCACTCAGAAAGTTCTATCATGGCTATCCTTTGCATCCCTTATCTTCATATTTCATTACTTGTTACTTTTGTCCTATATTTCTGAAACAATGTCCTCTTGATCCTTTTCAGCCGACAGCAACTGGCACCCCCAAAGGATCCAAGAGCTGCAAACCTGGCTACGACGACACTACACTTCCCTTGATGGAGAAGAATCAAGGTTAGCGTAAGACCCCAAACAGAGACTTTACACACTATGGATAACAGCAAATCTGTCCGCTCAGGGGAGTTCTGGAGGTTCAGGTGCACCTGAGCGAGCATATCTTCTAAACTCTACTATTTTTGTGTTTTAACATGTGGCAGAATGCTTGATCTTTCACCCCCACTTCTCAGCTGGTGAGTGCAGCTGCCGCATCTCTTGTGCTTTAATCGGTCATTTGAGCAGTTCATATGATACAGAATGATTTATGAGGATCAGACAGCAAATGAATGGGCCTCAGTATAGGAGCTCATTATTCATTCACTCAAGTAAAATGATGGTAAATTGCTGAGCACCATCCTTCCACCCGGGCACATCTCATTGAGAGAGGAGTTAGCATGACAGCTTTGGCTTTTTTCTGATTTTATTACTGCTGTTAGCATGGATGCTCATGACAGTGATGCATTTGATCACATCCATCAGTCCCTCACCATTCCCTGCTAGCCTGAATGTGAAGAATAGAGCACAGCAGTGACCGCACAGCTTTTCAGCAGCCTTTGTTCTGGAAGGATTTTTCTCATTAATTTTCTCCATAACTGAAACCAGCCAGCTCTGAGACGAACTACACATCCATGAACCATTACAAATGATGTTATCAAATCAGCAATACAATATGAAACTGTTAACTTAAGATTATTATTTGGGAGTATAATATACAATATTTTAGAAGTCTATTACTAAAATATACACTACCATTCAAAACATTAGGGTCAGTAAGAGTATCTTATGCTCACCAAAGCTGCATTTATTTGATCAAAAATACAGTAAAAACAGTAATATTATGAAATATTATTGCAAATTAAAATAACTTTTCTATTTTAATATATTTTAAATATATCATTTATTCCTCTGGTGGCAAAGCTGAATTTTTAGCAGCCATTAATCCAGTCTTCAGTCACATGATCCTTCAGAAATCATTTAATATACTGATTTGGTGCTCAAGAAACATTTATTGTTGTGCTGCTTAATATTTTTGTGGAATTTTATCCAAAAAGAACTTAGAAGGGTCTTAGTGACCCCAATTGTTTTAACGGTTGTGTATACATACATATAAGTTCAGTGAGAGTGTAAAGTGACTGATTTGATTGTAATTTCTATGATTTATGGAAGTGGGCAGCCACTTCTCACTTCCTGTGTCTCCTCGAATTGGTGGCTCTCACTTCAGAATTGTGTGTAGTGAAGAATTTCACAGAGAATTATGTAATTAAAGTATATTTCCCACATTTGAGCCTTTTTTAAATCAGTTTCTCAATAATGCAAAGGAATGAGATTTTACTCTATAGACCTTGAAAGCTACATGGAGAGATTTTATACCTAAATTAATTTTCTCAAAAAAAGTATTAGTGCTGTGAAAAATCCAGCCTGTAAAATGCTTTGCAGGCAACAGAGGGTGTAGCGGTGGGGATATGATACCTATGGACGAACTCGGTCCAGGTAAGACCATTTCGGCATGCCCTCAAAAACAAACCCTACAGACTAATGTGGTTTTGTGAGAATACAAAACCATAATCCCTCTTAATTTGCGATTAGTTTTAAAAAGTAATGAAATTCTAACTGCATTTCTTTTTCCCTGAAGAGTTTCATTCCAATGCTGTCTGCAAAACCCCTCTTTTAATAAGATGTTTGTAGTGCTGTTGTGTTTGGTGTGTATGGGCCGATGGAAATTTGAGCAGAAGCTCTATTGCTTGTTCACTACAGAGTACCACCTCTTCATTACGGTGCCATCTCTCTGATCTTCTCCACTGAAGCAGCATCCTCTCCAAGCCTGAATGACAATAATTGGACAGAGGCTGAAGATGGGGTGCTGTTTGAGTGGCTGGAAGGAAGTCAAGAAATACACACAGCATTCATGCACACATACACAAACCCGCACAGTAATCACACAGCAATCACGTGCTCAGCTGCGAGCATGAGAACATCTGTGAACGCAGCACGTACGGGACGCTCCAAGCTGAAGGTTGAGGGATCTGTCGCTGCTTGTTTGAAGAGCCATGCTGAGGGTGCTGACACACCGATCATGATAACAGAGTTTCTCTGCTTTCTTTCCCTCTCATTAGATGGCTATTCGACGATTGACCAGCGAGACAAAGACTCCAAGTACAAAAGCAGCGACGGCTCGTCGGATCTGCAGGAGCGGGAGCCGTTAAAGGTCAGAGCAGAAGTGTCAGAAGTGAGACATGTTTCTACATCTGTTTAATCTGAGAAGGCCCTCTGTGTGACAGTGCTGTCTGTGGTAGTGTGGTAATAACGTCTCTGTCTCATTAGTTGCTTCAGGCACAAACACTGCAATTTTCCATAGGAAAGAGAAATTATATATTAACAGTCATTTTGTGTTGGAGCCATGGTGCAGCAGTTAACTAGACAGCATCATAGCATATGGTCTGAGGGAAAATAAGCAATTTGGTTCACCAAAACAAGCCAAAATGGTTTTCATACAATGGAACTGTGCTACAAAGGAACTATTTCTCCTCCTGTAAAACCGCAGCTGTCCGTATTTATAAGTGACCTTATGAAAAAACAAGCCCTTAAATAAAGTCACTTATAATAAGTGGGCATGACAACACTGATTTTAAGGCATCATAGAAACCCCCAGCAAACAACATGCAGAAATATACATTTAAAAAAAAATAATCGACATTAAGACTGGTAAATCAGTTTTCATCGTTAAAAATCAGTTTTTCAATAATGCAAATTAATGAGATTTTACTCAATAGACCCTGAAAGCTAGATGGAGAAATTCTATATTTAGATTAATATTCTAAAAGTGAGCATAGACGCCCCCATAAAATTTCTGCCTGCTGTTTGTAACTACACCATCGTACTGAACAGCAGGCAGAAATTTTTTGCAAAATACCAGACACAGTCAAGAGAAATGTTGATGATACTTTTTTATCCAGAACTGAAGTGTCAATAAAAATGTTTAAATCGAATAATTTTTTTACACGCTGGGGTACAAAAGTCTGAGACCACATTGATATCCTAAGATTCAAAATCTAATTTAAGCTTGTGAAATGAAAAATTGTAAACATGCTTATTAACATTTGAAACACTATATTTAGAGCTAGGTCACTAATTAAATAAGTAAATTTATGACATTGATCATGTGACTCTTTGGTCAGGTGTTGGTCAGGCACACATTTTCAAATCCTAACAGAGAACAGGATCATCCGGTTTGACAAACTTGAATCGCACTGTCCACATCTGTATATTTGAGATACTAAACTTGACTTCCCCTCATACAGTCTGCTGTTAGCCCCATTTCGTGCTTAAATAGATAATTAAACTTCAGCTTTGTGATATTAAAATCATTAATGTAGAGATGGTTAAAAAACTGTCTGGTGCTGCTATTTCCCCCTCTGACTGGCATCTGTAAGAGAGGTTGACTTGCATATCAAGTGCCTCTGCAACAGTAGATTGAGTTCTCTTACTCCCTCTTCACTTATATGGAGTCATCTCTTATTATGAGTGTTATCACAGCCCAGCGTGAGAGTGATTTGCTTTACTGTGTGTCTGCGTTTGAAAGAGGCCACACTGTGCTCATAGACGACACACTGCATTATTGACGACTACATTTCTGCACCATCTGTAGTCCGGCTCAGCATTGTGATTGGGCTTTGTATCTCAACAGCTGCCTGCCGTATTTCATTGTTAGGCTTTACAAACGCTTTAATAGATGTCATGACAAATTCTGATTTCTGTTGCTGTGACTGTCAGAATTCTGTCAGACCGTCAGATTATTTTTCATTGTCAGAATATTAGGCAGACAGTAAAAGAGTTATTTTCCTACTAATACAATGAAGTTGCTCCCTCTAGGGGTCCTTGTTTGCACAACGTGCTTTTGATACATAAATATCACGTCGACCAAATTTGTATTGTTTTCGGAATGGTTCTTTATTCTGTTCTGCATGCTTTCTCTTAAATTACCTTTCTCTTCTATAATTTCTAACTGTTTATTTTCCCCTTGAGCTTCTCTGTTGCGAGGACTAACTCTGCCTTTCTCTGTGTGTTTAAACTGTTGGTTTTGCTGATTTGAACCCCTCTCCCACTGCTGCAGAATGACACAAATAGGAAACACTATATCAGGAGCAACAGGCCGACTGTCAGTCTGGTGGATGCTTGTGATGTTAAACCTCAGCCTGTTGACTCCTGGGTCTAAATGCATGCATGGTAGGTCTTATGTGTTTGATTTGGATGTGTTTTATTAGTAGATTTGCTCTCGCTCGTTCTGTTTATGAAATAACAACCACCCTATGTTATCATTTGTTCTGTCTAATCCAGAGAAGTGCATTGGCTGACAAGTGCATGCTCAGATATTAAAAAATATATATTTTCTTTGTGACACTACCAGTTCATAAGGAGTGTGATTCAGAATAGAGAAAATAGGACCTTTTTTTTTGAGAAGTGGAGCATGAAAAAGTGTCTATTGCATGTACACTACCGTTTAAAGTTTTGGGTCGTTAAGATTTATTTTATTTTTTTCAAAGAAATAACAAAGAAAGAGGAAACAAATTTCAAAGAACGGGACAAGGAACAATGTATATATACCTACATATGTACATACTCATATCGGTTCTTTTGGTCATCATATTTCTCACTGATTTCGTCTCTTCTAAATCAGATAAAGATAAATTAGCACAGTAAAGATTACATTTATATGAATGCATTAGTGAGAGAGCGATTGCGTGTGGATTAATTCTACCTGGCAGCATCTCGCTAATAATAGTGAAGCTGTGGGTTTTGTGGGTAGAAATATATGCTACAACTTTTCAGTTTCTAAGCTATTTTATTGATAATTCACAGAACAGTGTTGACTATACATTTCTGCACTACTGAAAGTTTCTGTGCATATGTATACCCAAACATACACGCACACATACACATAGACACAATGGTCAACAGGTCCAACATATATTACATTCATTAGTATTTAGGTAAAAGGTAATATTGTAAAATATTACAAATAAAAAATATATATATTTTAAAATGTCATTTATTACTAATAGATAAAGCTGAATTTTCAGTATCATTATTCCAGTCTTCAGTGTCACATGATCCTTCAGAAATCATTCTAATATGATGATTTACTGCTCAAGAAACATTTCTTATTATTATCAGTGTTATAAACAGTTGTGCTTCTTAATATTTTTGTGAAAACAGTGATGCATTTTTTCAGGATTATTTGATAGAAACTTCAAAAGAACAGTATATCTTTGAAATAGAAATCTTTTGTAACATTATAAAGGTCTTTACTGTCACTTTTGATTACGGTAATTTAATGCATTCTTGCTAAATAAGTGGGGGGTTTTTTACTGACCCTAAACTTTTAATGCGTAGTGTATTTAATTAGTTTCCTGTGGAAAGTGGACTTCATTGACCAAAATACACTGTCATACATGTTCTTGTGGGCAGTGCTGCCTTCTCTGGGCTAGCATCACCATCGTCTGTTTAATTTCACTCTCATGCTTGGCAAACATCTACTCATCATTCACGCATTCCTAATCCCATACTATCTGTCTAGCAGAAAACCATTATCAGTTCAATCCTGGCCTTTGAAACATCTAGAATTCAATCATGTCTAGAGGATCTTATTAGTTTGTCATTCATGAAAAAAAATGTGATTAAAGACAAAGTTTTGTTTTAACATAATATCATATTTGCTTTTGTAACTTGTAATCTGGTAAGTTATGTAGAGAAAACATTTCCTTAGTTTCAACAAATCATCCATCATTCAATCAACACACTTCCATTTTGCAAACATTATCATGCATGTCTAATGTAATCAGGAATTAGTTTTGTGACCATAATAGAAATATCTCTCAATAGAACAAATATTTTCATTTAGTCTGATGATGTCATCTGATATCTGTGGCTGTCCTGCCCTCTCCGCTGCAGGCTTAGCTCGCGACAGCGCTACATGTTACCACACAAGGATTTCACGAGTCACCACTGCCATTAACCGCAGAGCTCACCCTGATGTGGACTCATCTGAAGACTTTTGCCTAAAAGAGCGAGAGATACAAACTTTCATTCAACAGCCAGTATTTTCAGATTTCTCAACAAGTGAAAAGGAAAAAAAAAACTGTTTAAAAAAATACCACTTCTCATATGTATATTCCCACTGGACGTAGTGTACCCAGAACTGAGGATTTGCTGGAATGATGGATGGATTGAGGGTACAGGAAGTGCTGTCATGGACGTGGACGTGCATTGGAAAGAATTTGATTGAGTGCAAAGAGGAAATAAGAAAAGAAACTATTTTTATGTCAAAACAAAAAAAATATAATTTGCCTATATTATTTTTGTTGTACGTTTCTGCCTGATTACTGTTTGTTTTGTGGATTTGTTTTCCCCAGAAGTGCAGTGAATTGTGACTTTTTTTCTTTTCTTTTTTTTCATTTTGTAGAGTTTTAATGGACGTTTGGGTTATCTAAAATAGTTGAGGACACTTGTGAAGGAGGAAAAGGAAAGTTTGTTCTTTTTGTTGTTGTTGTCCATTACAGCGGTGTGGGGACACATACAATGTCGGGGGAGGGGGGGGGGGGGGTCTATATTGAAATGCACGCTTTGCGATTTCTGTGTGCTGGCTTCATAAAGCAACTTTAAAGACATATTATCACTGTGTTTGTTTCTTCTCACTGAGAACACTGACATCTGCTCATAGTGAAGTTGAAGGGAGGAGAGCTGCTGCGCTTTCAGTGCTGATCCTGTATTCCCCTTGACATGTCCAGCTGCAGAGGCATGCTGGGTAACTGGGTAACTGGGTAACTTACCAGCTTTTGCTTTGGTTTATTTAATAAGGGGTAATGATGGGGAAAAATATATTTGTTAATATGTAGATTGTGTTATGAGGGATAGTAGGGGGATTCAGTTGCTCCTCTTGTCATCAAAGTAGATTTTAAAAACATTTTATATTTTGTTGTTTTATAAATGTATATTAGGTTGCAAAGATAAAAAAGAGGGGGGTGGGATCACAATGTTCTTTATAACATTGATAGTTTTGAATCCACAACAGTTTGTTCAGAGCACATTCAGTATTCCGTACATAAAGCATGGCCATGTTTGTATAAAAATTCATAATAATATAATAAAAAGATCATTGCTTTAGATCAATGTTTATCAAAGGCTGTAGAGTCATTCTCATTGTCTATTTATATTTTATATTTTTTACATCTTGCTTTGTTAAATGGAAGCATTTATTTTCAGTGTTCTTCTTTTTTTTTCAATTGGAAAACATGTTCAAAATGATCTGATTGGTTGACAGAATTTAAGTGTTCATCAGGAAAGACAAGGAATATTACAGAAGAGGAATCAGACATAGACACTACCTTTCATTTCAGCTGTTATGCAAGCCAAAATACTTTTACATAAAAGTGTATCTCTTGAGTATAACAAACAAGCATGACAACGTTTTAATGTTGTTTTCATTCATTTAGTTTCATTTATTTGTAAATTGGATAATACAATCTGGACACTCGGATGAGAAAAAAGCAAATGCTGTAAATGGTCCACCTGTCAATGTAAAGAAATCCTGTATTATACATATAATTTTACACATAAACACATAAAAAAGGGACAAACACTGACATACCAAGTAGTATGACAAATTTTGTTTTGGCAGTTTCCATGTAATGTGAGGCAAGCAACACGCGTCTGCTTTATCGTCTGATTTCTGTCATGTGACTCTATATAACTCTCTATAGCAGGATTTTTTCATAGACTTCTAATAACAAAATAACTGTGTAATAATTTTCACTTTTGAAGATGAAATGTTGTGTACATTCACATCGAGATCTTTAGCCTTGTGTAGGTTCATTATTAATATTTGACTGTCTGTTCCTGACTGCCTTTTTGCAGAATACAACCAAAGGTATTTTGGTACCATGTAGTACGAGAGGTTCCCGGAGTGTGAATTTGCATCAGATTGTATATTTCTAGAACAACGGATGTTGAAATGGATTTAAGAGAAACTATTGTAGATATCATTACTTCAGAGCATCAAAATTCAGTATGTGTACAACTTGGTAGCAAATGTGTTTGTAACTATCATGTGCCTTAACCTTTTTCCATGTTAGATGAAAAAGATAAGTGTGTTTTATATGTTTTATTGGTCCCTGACTGCTCTTTCTCTCTCTCTTTCTATCTCCGTCTCTCTTACACACACACACACACCTCCTCTCTCTGGCTCCTCCCACTTTCACTCACTCTGTGTTCTCAATGTAGTCTAGACTGGTGGTGGGTTTTGCCTTGTATTACATTGTATTATAAACTTTTAAAAGATAGAGACATAAAAGGGTTTGATTATATAGTTGTTAATGCTTTCCTAGCACTCAAGAACAATGCCACAGTGACCGAATGTATTGTTAATTTTACTAATACCCAGAAGAGAGAATTGCTCTTGTTAAAGAAAAATCCAGGTTTGTAGAGTATCATTTTGGTGTGTTTTCAATAAATCATGCCTGAAAAGAGTGCATTCTGTCTGCTTTTGTTTCTTTTCAATTCATTTAAAGGGATATTTTGTTGTTTTTGGACATAAAAACAGTTGTTTGAAAATGTTCTTTCATATTCCACATAAGAAAGTAAGTCATACAGATCTGGATAGCATGTGGGTGAGTAAATGATGACAGAATTTAAAAAAATGTTGGTGAACTATCCCTTTAATACACAAAGAACTTTCAGCTTTCATTTCAGGCGAATTATGTATTTACTACAAATAACTTGTCAAACGATTTTTCATCAGAAAACACTAGGAATCTGCTGGGAGTGGTAGTTCAGGACTCGCCCATTTTTGTACATGATTTAAAGGTTCATACTCCCTTCACACACCCTCTGACAGCGCACATATTCATTTCAAAGTCAAATGTTTCATTTGGCAAAAAAACAGTTCAATATTTCTCCCTCTCAAGAATTTTTTTTTGTGGAAATGTTAAAGTCTGAAGTTCAGCGTGCATTAAATCACATCATCCAGTGTGTGTGCGGCTCCTGCGATGGCCTGTGTGACGATGGATAAGTGTTTATGAGCCTGATCCCAGTCTTCCTTCAGGTCAGTGCTCTCAGCCTTCTCTACTGCATCTGCCAGACCGGGGAAGGTGGGAACACTCGATGACCTCGACGCCCATATCACGTGCCTGTGTGATGCCAGAGAGCGTTAGAAGTGATTGCGAACAGGTGTGACATCAGCATGAACAAATGAAGAATGGTCAGTGGAATGCTAATTATTATTCATAAGGGACTGGGTCATTAGTAGCAGATTGTTTTAATAATGCTGCTTCACACCTGAAACCATATTGTTCTGGGAACGCTAACGGGTCAAGGAAAGCCCTGTCCAGCAGCATGAGCTGGTCATTAATTCTGCGAGCCTTCAGGGGCCTGTTGTGAAGACAGAAGTAATATTTATGCAGTTGTGTACCCTTGACACCAGAGCAGGTGATTTTTTCTTTTCATCATTTTAACCCTTTAAAGCCTACTGAATCGTATTTGATATGCAAATTCATAAGGTTTCTAAATGATCAACATGAACAAAAGATTTCTGAAAAACCTGTTGTATAGAATCTATTACATGCCTTCTATAGTCAGGTTGATAGATTATATTTTATTAGCAAGAAAAATTCCTTTTTAATATAATTTTAAAAACGTCCCCCTTCAGGTTGTCAGTTTGGGCCTGTTTTTTCCTCAGGTATGAGCTCCATATTCTCCTCCTATATGAGCCATAAAAACCTGATTCATAAAATTTGATACTCAACATAAAACACATGCAAACTTGTTTTGTACATACATTTTGCCTAAAGGTACAATAAACGGTTCCATATTAACTATCATTTCCTATGTCATGCTTTACAGGGTTAACTTACGTTTCTTTTGCGAGATCTGAATCCCTGATCAAACGATCCAATTTGGTGGCTGTCTCTCGGAATAATTGCACGGCTTTCTTCAAGGATTCTGGGATGGGATAAAAGTGCTCATTGCCACTTTGACACTTACATAACTTCCATAGCTCTCACCTTGTATTAACTTTTAGGTTGACAAAATTCACGATTAGGAAAAAGGAAGCATTTCCCTCATCCAAAGTAGTTTGAATCTTGTTAGCTCACCCATAGAGATTCCTTTAGCCGCAAGTTTTTCCTCAAAGGCTGTGACCGCCTGACTGAAGTACAGCTCCAGACTTTCTGCATAATCACTGCAGTTAAAAGGCAACAGAAGACTGTCAGCCAATCGCACCAGCACATTCCCTGCTGTCCTGGCTACTGCCTGGTGACTTGTGAAACCTGCATAAGGGAAAGTCATTTGAACTTAAAATAGAACAGACGAGGACATGCAGATAAATACGTTTTAGTATTAAAAGAGGGTTCATAGTAAGTAGTAAATATATATATCGTCTCGTTTGAGAGCCTTAGTATTCATTTCACCTGGATCAATGAACGTAGATGCATAGTCAAAGGTGTCATAGGCCGTGTGGTAGGCTGGGTAGATGCGCGCTCTTGTTTTACTCTGCAAAGTGATCAAGAATGTGGTGTTATTATTACTCAACTTTTTTTAATGCCAAGTGGTTGATTGTCTTAGCGCTGCCCACTTACCCGGTCATAATAATAGGAAACGTCCATAGAAGTTACTCCAAGGTAGTGCATAAAAGCAGCGTAATCACTTCCTGCTCCTGTCAAGAAGCCCACACTGCAAATACAATTGACAATATTGAGAATTATTACTTTACCAGTCATGGTGCTATAATCCCCTTGTGAACCATGAGGTAGTATTGTGGAATAATAAGAGCATACTTTGGTATAACCCCATAATTTGGACTGGTTCTGTTGAAATATTTTATCCAGTTCTCATAGACTGATGTGGTTGTTCCAGGTGCATTAACCTGAAAGCACATGACTCGTAAAAGTTTTATGAAAGGCATGAAAGTCACTCTTCAGGGAAGGGAGTAGATACAAGGCTTGTTCCTCACCTGTTTGGAGGCTGTAAAAAGCACACTCTGTGCTGCTGGAGAGGCAGAAGCTCTGAGAGTGGCATTAGCTGGGGTGGACATCAAGCATTTCAGCAAGTGGAACACGGGAGGAAATTAATATTGAAAATATTGAAAGAGGAAAAACATCA